TGTTCTATGATTATCTTCCACTGGAGAGTCCATTGAATTATCATTACAACTTTGCCCAAGAGCCAAATGGTCATTTTGTAAACTTCCAGACAATTTAGCCCATTTTGGTATCTCAAGATAAGTCAAATCTCCACTAAGGTTGCGTAAACTTCTTGATTTGGGATGTTCAAGTGCTACAGTAGTTTCTTCTACTGAATCAGTTTCCCTTTGGACCAGGTCTTTGACAGTGATCTCTTCAGTATCTAAGCTTTTCAATGTTTGATCCAAGTCCTCCTCAGATGAGCTGCATCTCAGATGTTTGCTGCTTCTTTGGTTTCCAATTGAGTCTTCTTCCTCATCAGCTGCAGTCATCTAAATATAACAAAAGAAGTAATTTTAACATATTCTCTTTTAAATTTCCCTAACAAACAAAAAGAAGATCAAAAAATTTTCATCTACTTTTCACCTTAACATTGGTGAGATCCAATTTTTTCTCTTCAAGAAATGAAATGAAGTCCTTGAAATTTTCTGGTGTAGGTCGATTGTGACCACTGTGAGGCCAAACTGCCTGGTGAAAGTAACCCAAAAAAAAAAAGAAAAGGAAAAACCATCATTAGGAAACTTTTTCAACACAACTAAAGTAATAAAGCAGTGAATTAAACCAAGTGAGATATATTAGGGCAGCTACCATATTAATAACAATAACTTTAGGACTCCATCTTCAACAACTAATCTCCCAGCAGCAATTGTGGCTGCCCCAGCCAGGAAGCTCGAGTGTTGAAATGTGCCTTTCTTCTTCTGGCCAACATACAGGGTCTTTGATGTGCTAAGAACAAATATCCACTTAGCATTGCCTGTGGTGTGAAGGAGCTCCCCTGTTTGCTTGAATAAGAACTTTCCATCCAACACAATGACTTCATAGGCTATCCTCTCCATCTGTAAGGTGGAAGAAATGTTACAAAAAGTTTGAACATAAGTAGGATAAAATTTGATGAGGAAAAGAAACAAAGGCTCACCGGACCAAGGTACTTGATGCACTGTTGTTGAAGTTTCAATCTAGGACATGCTTCAAGATTCACTTCTTTCCCTTCCCCAATATCCAACCTGCATTTTTAAAACGCAAACATATTTATTTCCAATTCAAGTTTCTTAATCCAGGAATCAGATTTTGAACTAGTCCAGCTCAAAGCTTTTGGTTAAAGAACTTACCAGTAGAAGAAGGGTTCTTCACTCTGAGAATTAAGCCATTTGTCATAATTAAAGTGTAAATTATGTCCATATCGATGTCGTGGGTCAATCTGAATGAATAAAACAAAGAGAATTAGAATCAGTAACAGGTAATGAAAAAGCAACAGTGAACTGAAATCCTATAGAACTTGACTTACCGCCTCAAGCCAATGCTACAAGGCAAGCTTCTGAGCTTTACCATTCTTTGATAAACCTTTTTGATGAGCTAATTCCACTCTAGCAAATGTTCTAGTTAGTTCAAGTAATATAATGATGAAAATAGAATATCGTTCCACAGAGACGGTAACCCAACTAAGTACCAAAATTAACTAATTCTAATTTTATTTGAACAATTGAAATTAAATGATTTGATTAAACTAAATAACTAAACTAATTAACGAAAAACTAAATTGACTTTAAGTAACACCAAGAATTAAAATTCTAAGGCATCGGATTTCACCGTAATGAATTAATATAGAATTTAGATTAATATACTTCCAAGGTATTAATTTATTATTTATGTGACAACGGGATTTTCTGATATACTTTCTCAAGTTATACTAAACCTATCTTCACCTATTAGCCAACTATATCTCTATGTAAATTTAAATAGATAAATATGCATTATATTCTGTGAAATTCCCTAGTTTACATGGAAAATTAAGTCCACTTATCACTAATGCTGCACAAATCATGTTGGTCCATCTCTGACTTTTGTTCAATTCATAGTGTATATTACTAGAAGTTATTTCATAAAATCTCCTTTCGGTCTCAATTATGCTCTCCAAATCAGTTTTAATGGTGGTCAATTATTAAAAAGCATTAAGAACAATAATATATACTCTACATAAAATAATAAACATTGAAAGTATAAAAATCATAAAACTCTATATTAAATTGATCAGGTTACATCGTAGCCTTAGATGGCAAATCAGTTCATAATTAAAGAAAAGAGAATCAACAATCTCATGATGAATATACGAGTATCCAACATCATAAAATAAAATTCAAGGACAAGCAAAACCAGTTTGACATATAAAATCTCAAGCCTTGATCTCCTTTCGTTGTTGAATTCCTTGTAGCAGTCTCTCTTGGTCTCCTCTCCAAAAGCTCTCAAACTGATTTTTTGAATGGGTATTTATAGAGTTTAAGAAACCCTATTAGAAGAGAAGTAGGACTCGAAACAAAATAAGAAATTGGGAGTTTGGATGCTGCATGCTTAGTGTTGACACCGCAAATTACGTGTTGATACAAAACAAGAATCAGAAACTATGATTCTGGACACGTAATGCATAGTGTCGACACTCCGATTATGTATCGACACCACACCCGTGTCAAGTTTTTGGCCTCTTTTGCGATTTCTTCAATGGTAAGATTGCAAATCTGATCCTTCAGGTTTTGTACGATGAGCACTGAGATCTTGAAACTTCAGATTCATTCATTTAGGTCCCAAAGAAGCCTCTTTTTTCTTGCAGTTCAATCCCTCAACTTCCATAAGATATTCAATTAATTCCAAAACTCATATTATTATGCATCCAAGTCCTTTTCTGCACAAAGAATGAAGCCCATGTAAAATCTCATAAAATTCTTCCAAATATTAATAATGTCAAGGCAAAAATTCAGTAATATGTATATAAATTCAGCTTATCAAATTCCCCCAAACTTAAGTTTTGCTAGTTCTCGAGCTAAATAAAATGACAAAAATAAAACCTAACTCACTTTCGTAGGAATCACGATTGCACTTAGCATGTGCAACAAGCCTTTAAACCCCTAGGTCACCCTAGTGGACGAGTTGTGTCTCGTGAGGATTTTTAGTGGATCTACCCACAAAATCCTAATGCAAGAATGCAACTACATGATATGCATGCAAAGAAAATCTAGGAATTAAAATTCAAGTAGATACAAAGTCCCAAATATTCAAGAGTTTCAAATACTCCATCCTATTCTTCACAACACTTATCAAAAGATTTAGCTCATGAGCACTTAGTGTGTGTGTGAAAATTCATAATGAGAAGTTTTCGAATTTAGACCTTCACATTTTAGCACATTATTATTATTTTTTCTTTTCTTGGAGTCAAGTTTCCTTAGGCTTTCTAAATTACTCATGTAACGAGTTTTCTGTCAATAACTCCCAAACCAGTTGGTTTTAGGGCATTAGGTAAAGAGACACCCCTAAGAACATACTTACTCAAGTAACAAAGGCCACGAAACATTTGACTCCTTTTTTCTTTTCTTTTTTTTTTTTAAGCCATACAAATATTTTTCCCAAAGCTATCACTTGCCTTTTGACGCGAATACGAACATTTGTGATGAAAGCACCCGGTTACTCAACAATTCATAAACTTAGAGTGCTTTGCATACTCATATTTCAAGTCATCGTTTGACGTGAAAGCTAACATGGGTCTCATGCCTAACCCCCAGTTACTAAGCAACTAGAAACATTGGAGTAGAATGTAATAACTCTTTTGTATTGGCTTCCTTTCCTCTTTCTTTTTTTTTTTTTTTATGTGCTTTTTAGGTGCTATGTCACGCCCCATAACCCAAATCCGAGGCGCAACAGACGCCGTGCACTCGTGAGACGGGTCCCACAAATGCACAAGGCTCGGAACTTATCATATCACACTCTGATACCATCAAAATCTGCAGATCAAATTATAAAATCTCTCTGATATCATAAAATCTCCAAATACAAGATCATGATTTCTATCTAAAATCTATATCAAGTTCACAAGGTGGCTAGCCTTCTAACTCGTCACTTCCCGTGGTTTCCCCGTCCTCGGTTTCACTTCCTGAAATGGTGGACAAGGAAAAACTATGAGATAAACTCAGTAAGTAAATATGGAGTGCCCCTTATTTAAACTTATAGCATGCCAACAAGTGCAATCACGAAAACAGATACAGTACGGGCACGAAATAGACGTCTCCTCTATAGGTCACGGCCAGTTCCCACTGGCAAGCAAACAGGAATACTAGTGTATAATCCCCACTAGTAGGGCCACGATTTGCTGGTGTATAACCCCCACTAGCTGGGTTGAACGAACCGGCTCTATCACTACATGTCGACATGTGCTAGCGTTTAACTTCCACTAGCAGGATTACAGAAACATGACCACATCGGAGACAAAATAGGCAGAAGTTAACAGGAAAATCACAATTCACAATCACTTTCAAATCATCAGGACAATCACTTAAATTTCAAGTAGGCATGCTCAATTTAGTGAAAAGCATAAAACATTTCACTTCAAATCAGTCATACTTGCGTAAAACGGGTTTAGTCCCGCCACCACTTTAAAAACAAATCAAAACATGCTTTTAAAACAGTACGGGCATTACCATAAATTACTTACCTCACTTGCATAAAACCGAGCACTCAATTCACGCACTAACTGACAGAACGATCGGGAACCTAATCAAAACACCTCAGAATTAATATCGGACTATCACAAATTCAAGCTGAAATCATCATTAGGATCATTCCTAATCACAGTGCTATTTCTATCACTTTCCACATGATCGGACATCTCCAAATTCATTCTTATATCACAAACTAATCACTTAAATTCCCGTTAAATGTTGGCCCTCGGGGTGTGAACAGTAACCTGTGAACAGTGACCCCGACGTGAACAGTAACTCCGACTTCCACAAATTGGCCAAAACACTAGCTAATCACGGGGTTTTCTCTCCAAAAATCACAACAAGCAATCCATTAACACTCAATCACATAAATCCCACTTAAATTAAGCAACAAAACACACTTAAATCCCTCTTAATTGCTACCGGAATTTCCCCATTTCCTAGCCAAATTCGGACATCAC